TTTCAAAAATGACGTAATCATGGAGACATTTTAGCCCGACCCAGGACTTATGTTCCCGTGTTGTCCATCCGTCCGTCTTGCGTCTTGACCTTCGTGAAACTTATTCTATCAACTTGAAATTTTGGAAAATTAAAAATGACAAAGTATAGTACAAAATTTAAAGTTGATAGGATAGATTTACGAGAGTTATTGATAACCAGACAGGCAGAGACACACCGGACAAAGCAGGTACATGCATACATACACAACCCCTGACTCGGGCTAAAAATCGGATTTTTTTCAAGATGCGTAAATCCATGGAAAAAATATTTTTTCAATGAGAGGAAATATCCTTCACTATGCACTAAAGTCAATGACCAGAGGAAAGGATATTTCCTTCTTTCCGTATCTATGCCGAATTTTGAGACAACGGATTTATCCGTTGCTCCGTCGCAACGCCTAAAAAATTAGGATGGAAATATCCTCTATTCCTTCACAACGCCAAGTTTATGACGACGGATATTTCCATTGTTCCGCAGCAACGTTCGAAATTCGGCGACGGATATATCCATCGTTACGAAGGAAAGGGTTAAATTTTAAAGTATTATGTAGTAAATATGAAAAATTAGAATTAGAAGTTTTAATTTGACATATTTATTTTCATATGTTAGCCATATAAATATGTGCATAAGGTATGTAAGTACTATATTGTGAATTTTTAGGATTAAGTATCTCTTTTTTAATTAAGCAATTGATTATCAATGACTCATTGACAATGAGCAGTACTGAAATTATCATTGTAGTTATTATTTATTTAAAAACATGTTTTTAAATGGCAATTCAATTCTTTGTTTTTCAAGCCAACATTAAACTTGAATGTTTTATTGTTCTTGTAAAAACATATTCCTTAATTTTGCAAATGTTTTAGTTTTAGTTGTCTGGAAAATGTGGAGAAGCAAAATCAAGAGCAATTTGGCTACAAAAATTTCGAGCAGAAAAGTGATTTATTTTCGAATGAATGCAAATAATATCAAAGTTAAAAGAGAAAACTGTTCCCCCCAAGACAATAATTTGGTAATAGTCAGGCATTTTTGTATATGTCGCTCTTCCTTTCGTTTTTATTTTATCACAATTGATTAAAAATTATATAATTAAGTAATTCTACATTATCATTATCCAATTTTTAAACCCGTCAAAATAAATTGATTAGTACAAATTAATTAATAAAATTTCATAATTAAATCTAAACCGTCCTAAATTAATGTTTCGATTTTGATTTGATCGATTTGCCTTTTGGTTCGGCATGCTCTTCTGGTAGCTAAAAAACAGATTGCATATTTGTATTATTTTTTTTCATAAGAAACATGATCAAATTATTATTTTTTCTACATACCATTGGCAAAGGACCTACTCCATACCAGTCAGATGTTTCACATCTGTACTTTAAATTACACCACCCGCTACAACAATTCCAACTATTGCCGCAAGGCTTGCCGTCTTTGATGCAAATCTGCAAATAAAAATCCATTTGTTAAATAATCCGTTAGAAATTTTATGGGAACAAACAAAATCTACTAAATTTGAATAAATATAATGAATTACAGAAAACATTTCAAACTTATCAAACACGCTACAATTCGCAGTGACGGATAAAAATCTCACAAAGCGAATGTGTCAATCTAGGAATGAAAAGAAACCTCATTTCGCCCCACTTCTTAATAAAAGCGGGAACTTCGCCTTGATATATATACGTCACCGTTCCACCTGCATAACAATTTTAGTATCTTGTCTAGACGGGTTTGGGGTAAGTTAAGCCCGCCTGGGGCTATATAAAGCCAAAAGCGCCAAGTTCAAATTCCAGTTATAGATTCAAGGAACACTCGGCGCTTTTTTTAAAATTCTGGCGGGAATATTAATTATTTTAAAAAACATGCATATACCTTTGATCTAGGTTTATCATCAGGATCCCCGCTGCCCTTATCCCACCCATCGCCCGCGCTTGGTTTCACAGGAAGTCATCCTCGTCGCCCGCGCCCGTGTCAGGTGGGAATTCCGTTGGGGCAATTTGAATCCACGGTTCCACCGTTGTTTCTGCATAGACTGGAAGATAAGCATCTCCTGCGGAAGGTTTTATGGGTAACCAACCACGTGGAGGGTCTGAATCGTCGGGTGCGGCGGTAGGTTTCACGGGGATCCAGCCAGGCTTTTTCACTTTGTTAAGCGTCACGACATCGTCGGAGACAGTATATTCCGCGTGAAGAGGTTCTTCATCTTCAACTTGCCCCTGGATGTATTCACCTGCGGGGAATATTTTTTTAGTGGGGGAGATTTAAAAAATTGAACTTTTAAAGTTTTTACCCTGCGGTATTTCCGAATTGTCGGTTTTCTCGCTATAATCAATGCCTACTTCGTTTTCCAAGGGAGATTCTTCTTCGTCATCTTGCCCCATCACCTGCGGGATTGATGAAAATGTTTTTTTTTTGTAGTTTATATTAAATATTTCGAAAGTTCCTTCTTACCTCGGAGTAAAATGATGCCAAAAATGACGGTAAAAATTAAAAATCTCATTATCGGAAATTAAAAATTTGAAAAGAAATCTGTAAACGATCTAACTATTTAGGAATGTTTGTCGAACTAGGTAATCAATTAAGGATTTAAAGGAAGATATTTTGAGATGTTTGTCCAACAAGGTGAGAAGTTTGAATGATAAAGGGTATCGATTTTAGCAAGAAAGTAAACTTTGGAAATTTAGAAATCGAAAGTTTTATTATTGATTTGGGCAAAGGTATTGTATTAAATTTGGGTAAAAATGTGTAGGTATAGTGTCAATAATTTTGTAATACTATTGTTTCCGGTGGAGGTACTACATAAGTATTATGCAATTACATATGTCAGGTGATAATCCTATAGAGCATCCCACGGGTCTTGCTCATAAGTATTTGCTACCTCAAAATCCAGTAAAACCCTAATACCCCAAAAGCCCAGGGTCAGGGTATGTTACCCCGGGCTTTTGGGGTATTGGGGTTTTGGTGGGTTTTCAAATTTGGGCAATACCTGAGGGTAGTCGGGGTTTTTAAATTTAAAAAAGTGCATTATATATTACACCAGCACGTTTCTGACAATTTTATAAGTTAATCAGATATTAAAATTGGATTAATTTGCTATCATAAATCGCCAAAATCCATACATTCTGAATGTGCCGAGGGCACAAACGTGTTGCATATCAAACTATATTTTAGTGTTATTTGTAATAATACATAAGTATTTGTGTGGCAAATGAAAAAATTAGAATTCAAAAATTTTTAGTTATTAATTATTATATAATTGTTATGGTAATGATTGAAATTCTCATTATTATTATGACTATTATTTAATAGTATCCTTTTTAAATGCCAAAATACTTAATTGTTTGTTTGTAATGCCCACATATTTATGTACATACCTACATACATTTGAATTGAATGGTTATTGTCTACCATAAGTTGCTGGGTGTAAATTTTGTTGTAAATTTTAATATCTAATCGTTTAGTTTTCATTTTTTTTGTTGTCTAAAAAAGGCATTAAATAATACTCGAGTAATTTTACTTATTAGAATTTAGCATTCTAAACAGTAACACACTGTAAATAATCTGGAGACAAATCGTCACCCGACGGAGGTACTATAGTGTACTATTTCGATTTAGGAGACGTTTTACCACCAGGGGGAGATAAGTCAATAACTCGTGTATTACACACAAAGGTGCATGATTTTTTGACTTATCTCCCCTTGGTGATAAAACATCTCCTAGATCATTACCCAAAAATGGAACACTAAGTATAGTACCTCCGTCGGGTGACGATTTGTCTCCAAATTATTTAGAGTGTGTGATTTATTTTCGACCATGTCAATAAAATGAAGGCAAATAAAAGCAAATTGTATGTAAGTCAAATAAGAATTTTATAACAACAATGCCAATATTTTTTATATTTCGCTTCTTTTCATTTTTATTTTATCACATTTTTTAAGAAGTTGATCATTGCATATTAACTAATAAAACTTTGTAGTTGGATTTCACCCTGGATTAGTGCTTTGACTTGTCTGATTTGTCTTTTGATCCTGCTTCGTCTGGCTGCTGAAAAATAGAAGGCATATTTATGTTTATAATTTTTTGTCATCAAAAGAATTTTGACTTTATCTTTTTGCACATACCTCTGGCAAAGGGCCAACCCCATACCAGTCGGATTTTTCACATTTGTACTGCAAATTACACCACCCACTACAACAATGCCAACTATTTCCGCAAGGTTTGCCATCTTTGATGCAAATCTGTAGATAAAAATCATCTCGTTAAATTCGCTTATTTTTATAGGATTATAATCTGTCAAGTTTAAATTATCATTGATAAGTAACCAATTTCAATTGAGTATATTGATAAGTTACCAATATACGCAATTGCGGGAAAAGATTTTTAAATTTCGAAAGTAGGAAAACAACCACAGTGCGGACAAGAATCCTACAAAATGATTAGTACGAACGGGATCTCAGCATGCCCTGTTTCTTAAGAAAGCAGAAACTTTGCATCGATCTGACCAAGAAATGGGAAGTGTCTGCTACCATTGGAATTTATCCCTTCCTTTCAAATTGCCCCGGACGGGTTTAACTTACCCTAAACTCATCTGGACAGGGATGTAAGTAAAGTTAGAATAATTACGGTACCACCTTTATACTTGAAGTAACCACAAGGCGGGCATTGTTTTTAAATTCTAGCGGGAACGATGCACATAAATACAGGGTTGTTAAAATGCCTCGGAAACTTTTCACTTTTTAAAAATTCGTAAATTTCATTTGACTTCGGAAATTTTGCCTTATAAATTCACCATTCGGGAATTTTGTCATCCTATCCCACCAGTTCTGAGATTAGACTTGAATAATAAATAAAAATCTCAATTTTAAAGACTCGTATATAGATTTATGGGATCTTCCATTTGCAAAATTGTCCATTGTAGTGAAAGATTTAAACCACCCTTTACATAAAAAATCATTAAGCTAGTACCTTTGGTCTTGGTTTATCGTCGGGATTCCCGCTGCCAGTGTCCCACCCACCACCACCTCCGCCCGTAGCGCCTGGTGGTGGGTTCTCAGGAATCCAGGCAACTGGTGGATCGGGTTCGGTGGGATCAATCGGATCTTGTCTCGGTGGTGACTCCTTCTTGGATGGAGGATCACCCTTGGAAGGTTTCTCCGAATTGTCTGGTGTCTCGCTATCATCGGAGCCTATTTCGTTTTCGAGAGGAGATTCTTCCTCGTCGTCTTGCCCCAGTACCGATTCACCTGCAGGATGGATCATAAGATTTTTATAATTCAGGAGTCTTTTTTTTAAAGAACAAAGTCTCGAAAGTTGTTTTACCCTGGAGTAAAATGATTCCGAGGATCCCGACAAAAATGAAAAATCTCATTTCGAAAATTAAAAATTTGAAGAGAAATAGGTAAATGAGCTAAGTATGTAGGTATGTTTGTCCAAGTAGGTGATAAATTTGAATGAAAAAGGTTCCTACTTAAGTGAGAAAGTGAAATTTGAAAAAATTAGAAATCGAAAGTCGTATTGTTCAGTGTGATGTAAGTATTGTTTGCATTTTGTTACATAAATCAATTAATATTTTTACACTTTCGTGTTCCATTGTTTAGGAAATATTGTAAAAGTGAAAGGAATTTTCATTCATTTAATAACGTACCTAAGATATGTTCGCATATAATAAGACCGAAAAACGTGACATTTTATGAAAATGTCCACATAAAAATTTACATATTTATAAAAGTATGGAATTTTTTATTCGTAAAATAATTTTTAATTTTTCTTAGAAAGAGAAATGTCTGAATTTTCAGAATCAGCGTCTGAATCCTCGTCAGCATCGTCAGGCGAGGTGGTGGTAGCGTCGTCGTCATCGGAGGAAGATGTCGTGGGGGGTGGTTGGGTGGGGACGGGTTGTTGGACAGGGGGTGACGTGATAACGATCGGGTTGACGTATTGGATTTGAGGTTGTTGTTGTACAGGGGCAACTTGAATTGGTTGCGGTTGCAAATTTTGGGCTTGCAAATTAGGGAGTTGCAAGTTTTGTAATTGAGCATTTTGACTTTGTAAACTTTGTAATTGAGGTTGCAAATTTTGAACTTGAGGAGTTTGAAGGGCTTGCGAATTTTGTTGGAATCTTTGCGCATTTTGGATGGGTTGGGCCGCCATGGAGTTTCCTATCATAACGGGAATTCCTTGTGATTGCTGTAATGGACGAATCACAGCGTTAATCGCGTTCACGGGAATGTCAGAGATTCCTTTGAATATGGAAGCCAACAGGACAGCGACGCCGTCCAGAGTTTGCGCAGTTCCTTCAGCGGCGCCATTCGCGGAAGTTTCTTGCCTGGCTTGCTGCAAAAAATTGGCAATTCATAGAAAATTGAAATTTATTGCATTTGTGTATAAACTGTTAGAAATCTGGGAAGGACAAGCAGGTATTGATTTCTCTGTGTTAGAGTTGCTACCGCTTGGTGTTAAAATTATTCCTGCCGGTGAATGTCTGCTACCGATATGATAAAATTTAAATACCAAACTATTACTACACGGTACTATTTATCAATACCACTTTGGTAGAGTCACATACTAACACGACTTGGTATTATTTTAATACTGGATTTCTAAGAGCGTAATACAATGTGGATGTTCTCTTACTGCATTATTTGAAGGCGCAGCGTGCACCAGATTGGAAAATGCGACCTGTCAAATGATAATAAAATTATTTATAAAAATTCAAACTTTTCAGATTTTTCTCTATTTTTTTTATAAACCATTATTACAAGAATCGTTATTATTGCAGGCAACCATTTTTTTGAAAATCGCGAATACTTGAGACACATTGTTAGAATTGCAGTTTGAAATAGGGTGAACAATATTTTTTTCGGAGAGAAAAAATTAGCACAAAAGAAGTAGTTGCACAGGAGAAATTGTCCGTATTGGAGATTGATTTAGAAAATGAAATGATATCATAATACCGTGATTTGGGTTAATTGGAGAATTATGCAGTGATCATGTTATGTCTGTTTTGTTTAGTAGATGAATAAAAGAATTATTATTCGTAACTTTCTACCATGTTCCAATAAGAAATGAGTATATTTTTATATACGTTAACTATGCATATGTTCCATATATCCAGACAATTAACGCAGTCATTACTAACCTGAAAAATGAAAAGTCAATAAGTCTTGTAACATGATCTTATTAAGTTCTACAAAATAAAGAACGCCCTTGATCTGAGCAAGTTTACAAAAATTGTTATGCTAATTTTTCTTCAAGTTTGTATTTATTTTGTAAAAATTTGTGACTACAGAATTTACGAATGTTACAAGGTTACCAAGGACTGTGTAAATTGCCACATTATATAATTTTTAATTGATAATTGAATTAAAAACCGGTTATATATGTAATTGTAATTCGTGTTTTGTATTTTGACTTTCAAGTAATTTTGCCAGCCTTTGTATGTACGTAAATATGTACAAGCATATTAATTTTCGGTTGTAACCGGAAATTTCCCAGCGGAAATTTTCCAGCGGAAAATGATTCCACCCACATTCGTTTCCTACATATTTACGTCTAATCATAATTACATACATTTTGCGGAAGCTTGAAAAAACAGTACTAATTATTTGCAAATGTTACGAAGTGAAGTTTGACAAAATTCTTGTCTTCTTAACTAATATAAATATGTTACAGGAAAGCATTGATCCGTGGGTACAAATATAAAAGCTTAAAATCACAATGAATATGAAATGACATAATTTGAATGTGCATTGTAAACAAGACATAAATACGTAATATCATTGTTCCTCTCATCAATTTGGGAAAAATGAAGTTCGTCTTCGTAATATTTTTGTATTTATGTTAGACTAGTACATACAGTGGCTTAATATGTGGGTGGGCTGAGTAGGAGGAATTAGAACTTATCGCCCATCAGTTTTATGTCAAATTTAGTTTTTTAATCGTAGCTTAGGAGGGGAGCTTGCGAGGTTGATAATAACAGATCTCGATGCCCTTTGGATATGTGATAGGGTCTCATGAGTGTACTAAAACCCTGAAGTGGTTTGACTCCATGGCCACATTTGCGCCCGCCACACCCACTCAAAAATGCCCAAAAAACGCTTCCACTCCAGTTTTCACTCACTCAAATCCACGTCAAAAATCCAATTTTACTCGGATTTTGAAATTTCTTTCATCATTACACTCCCAGATAGTTGCTTTCTTCAATCCAATATCAAACCCAATTTTTTCGAAATTTTTAGTATTTTTAAAATTTGAAATTCTGAATGAGGATTGTTGTAGTAATCAACAACTCAAATTACGCCTGCGAAATAATCATCAGCAAAATTGAGTTTGATATGGAATTGAAGAAAGCAACTATCTGGGAGCGTAATGGTGAAAGCAATTTCAAAATCCGAGTAAAATTGGATTTCTGGCGTGGATTTGAGTGAGTGAGAACTGGAGTGAAAGCGTTTTTTGGGCATTTTTGAGTGGGTGTGGCGGGCGCAAATGTGGCCATGGAGTCAAACCACTTCAGGGTTTTAGTACACTCATGAGACCCTATCACATATCCAAAGGGCATCGAGATCTGTTATTATCAACCTCGCAAGCTCCCCTCCTTAGAGTATTGTCGATATTCCGGACACTTTCTTGTCCTAAAATAGTTTTTGTTTTCGCGGGGTCCACTGTTTTTTCGGGGTACGCTTTAAGTTTTTCGCACTCTCTTTCTTCGGATAATGCATGTATGTATAATTACGTATATATGTAGGAGTAGTTATAAAGGGTACATTTTCACGTCATGGCGGCTATAGCGTCAGAGGAAGGGTATATTTTCACGTTTCTTATGCATAATATATACCGGCCAAAGTCGTATATATTTTCGTGTATGGAAAAATATGCTGCCGGAAAAGTGAAAGGGATGGTGGTGGTTGATGCGTGGAGCATGCAGCTGACCATGGAAAAAAGGGTTGATGCTGGTGCTGGCTAGCGCAAAGTGAAAGGGTGATGGTGGTGGTGCGTTGGCATGGTTACCACCAGTCAATGTTTTATTTATTTATGATTTTATTTATGCTCATTTATGATTTTATTTATTTATGAATTTATTAATGAAAACATGTAAATTTGTTATTTTTTGGTTAAATAAAATTGGAGGAAACACAATTCATACATTTTGTAATATTTTTATTAAAAACAAAAATCAGTAAATATTCAATTCAAAGATTTCAATATTAATATTTGTAAAATCGGTAGCAGAATTATGAAAAAAATGATAAAATTTTGATAAATAATTCTGCAAATTATAGAAAAAAGCATTTTTCTATTTAACGATTACAGCTCAATCGTTTCGTCGCTATCGTAATAAAAATTTTCCGCTGGATCTGGCCGCAATGCCAATAATGCAAGAATTTTCTTTGCTCTATTCCTCTTAGAGGCCCGTGAAGGACGGGGGACATGTTTTTGAACCCTCCCCCCTAGCGGGGCAGGAACCTCAACCTCATTGCTAACACTAAGGTTAGAGAAGATTGCCATTATATTGTCTTCCGGTTCACTTGCCGTAATCGCATTACGCACAAATTCTGGAACAAATCGCATTTCTCTGCTCCTATACACGTCATAGCGAGAATTGCTATCCCACCAAGTGTGTCCTAATCCCAATTTTACAAAATAATATTTGATAAGACCCAAAATTATCCCCTTTCCCACACAACTTGGGATGATAGGTTCTCTAGCCAGAGTGCCACACATCTCCCCGAAAATTGTCTCTGTACAATTTTCGGGAAGATGTGATTAGTGCTGAAACCAGCACTTGACACATAATATGCTTCATTAAAAATACGTGCTACCGTATCGACAATAAATTCCAAATACTGTCTAATGGAATGACGCGATCGTCGCGAAGGATCTACAATTGTGCCGACACCGCTTTTCCTATCAACCATAACAATTAAATATTCATTTCCTCTAATATTTTCTTCGTGAACGAAAGATCGCAAAAAATCTTCTGGGATGTTAACAAGAATTATTACCACTTCGGTTTCCACACAATTACTAGCTTGAACTAGATAAGCATAGTTAAAACCGTACCTAGGATTCTATCCTTCCACATTGACAGCAAATGTCGTCGTAGGGAGGGCCCTAATTTTCGTAGGGAAATTCCTAGTTGCTGCATAAAAGTCGATCTGGAATGGGGAGAGATCTTTGCTGGCAGCTCCAGTTGTATTCCAAGCGGCATCAGGGGTGTATTCAGGGATTGGAATTGTGAGAAGAGCTCGATGGAGAGGAAACGACTCTCCAACTGCATGTCGCCGTAGATAAGCCTGGTCCATCCCATTGAGAAGATAATTCCCATATCTCTCTTGATCCATTTTCGGGTTGCTCAAGTAACCGTCCGTTAAAATTGAGTGGAAAAACTGTGAAATAAATAATTTAGGAATTAAGTAAAGATAAAAAATACATACACTTATAATTCCTCCTTTTTTACAAATGTACATACATATCAAAGCATGAATATTAGGTTCATCTCACTTTGCAATAATTTCACAAGACCTTACTTACTTGGATATCTGTGAGTGCATGGATGAGGTTATCAACAAATCGTTCAAAGTTGATGAGCCCCATCTCCCCATGAATTGCCTCCATGATTGTACACTGTTCATCATTCAGTTCTCCATTGGCGTGAATGACATCAGTAAGAAGGATGACATCCACCAAGGAAATATTTCGGTTGAATAAAAATTGAAGAAGCTTCGAACCAGCGAGCCAGAGATGGTCCCGCTCGCGTTCTTCAGTGCTTGCTTCTCGGGAAATAATTCCGAAATTTGCCATTTTGTTATAAATTTAAAGAAAAACTTTAAAGAAATGAAAATTTGAGAAATTTCGAAAATTTCGAAAAATATTAAGGGAATGAACAAAATTGGCAATTGTCAAAGACTGACTGACAAGATAGTCAAACAGTGTCTCTTTTATGTAAAAGAGAGTGGAAAAATTTTCAAGTACAAAACGCATGATCCTTTATTTTGAGAAAATATAAAGTAAAGGGAAAAAAATTCAGGTAGTAAAGTTGAGATGAAAAAGGTTGTTTTATTTATTTATGGAAAGTGAATGACAGAATTTTGGGAGCAAAGTTGAATGCATAGCGGTTCATTTATTTTCTTATATTTTATTTTGGAAACGAAAATGGAAAAGGGTCAAGATTCAGGTAGTAAACCTTGAGTGGAAAATAATTTTGAGAGCACAATTGAGGGCATAGCGGTTCATTTATTTTCTTGTATTTTATTTTGGAAATGTAAATTAAAAGGGTTAAGATTCAGGTAGTAAACCAGGAATAGAAAAAGGTTCTTTTTCTATGCAAAAGAGAATGTCTTTAGTTTACGATCCGCAAGTGAAGCTGAGCTTGTACGAGGTCATTGAATGAAACGACGAAAATAAAGTACCGTATTTTATGATGAGTGACAAGATCCCGAGTTTTATGTAATGAGATGAAGAATGATTTTGACATTGAGTCAACTTCTTAGAGATGTAGTAGAAGGGATGACCTAGAAAGAAGGCACCGTATTTTTGAAATGAGTGATGACGAAAATATCGGAGATCTCGAATACAAAGAACAACCGTAAACGTTTCCAGAGTTTAAAAACGGCGAGATGAGGAGGAGTAAAATGCAGTCAGCACTTGATCTTTCGTGAAGTCTGTCGTTGGAATCGTAACAAAAATACGTACGGAAATACACGCTTAAATACATACTAAATTATGCAAGAGGAGCAACGTTGTGAGTATTGTGGGTGGAGTCACAATGTCGCCGATTGCGAAAGAGTGGGAGAAGGGTTTGAAGAGACTGAAACTTGTGAATTTTGTGGTGGGTTCCATCATATCGGAATTTGCGAGAAAGTGGTGGATGGAATTGAAGATACGGAAAGTTGTGAGATTTGTGGTGATTTTCATAGGAACGAGCACTGCAAGAAAATTCAAGGAGAGAATGCTATGAAGAAGTGTGAATATTGTAGTGAACCACATGATGTGAGCAAGTGCGAGAAAGTTGGAAGAGTGATGGAGGCAGATTTCCACAGCGTGGAGCAAGAAAAGCTACAAGTGGCGGGACCTAGCAGAAAAAGGTAAGAAAAACAATGATTGCAGTATTGTAGGTGGTAGCACACCCAACTGGTTCATAGTAGAGGAGAGTGGGGCAAGTAGTTACAAGTAACAAGTAGCAAGTAGTCACATAAGTGGCAAGTCACATAAGTAGCAATTAGTCACACCCAAAAAAATTTTTTGGGTGTGAAAATGACCTTTTCCACTGTTTTTTCATAAATTTCTCTATGTTTTTTTCTTATGCTGGAGGTTTTTGCTTAGTTTTTTAGGGTAGTTGAATTATTTTAGAAGGATGGTTTTGCACATGTTTTGGGGGTTAGTTAATTTATTTAGGAGGCGAGTTTAATTATTTTACCGGATTGGTTTAGCTCAAATTTTTCAAATCACTGGTTTTGCACGAATTCGCATGGAGTATTGCTCCAACGTCGCGAACGTAGTGAGCCTCACCACCCCCTGGGTACATCCCGTGCTTGCAGGGCAAATGTTCCCAGGGGCGAGCTTTAGCTCGATGCATGCTCGATGAACAAAATTTTCAAAGAAAAAATTTTGTCCAACTCTTGACGAAACAAGTTGAATTTGTTGAACAAAGGATAGGTAGGTTTGAAGTTCGGTTAGGTATTATTTTACAATCATGGGAAAGCTCACCCCTTTTAATTTTATAGTTTAAAGCGACCGACTCAAGACGCAACTACAACCCCGAAGCGTTGGCGCACCGTTCCCTAGATGAACATGTACAAAGATCGTGTTTGTCCCCAATGCTCGCTCCAGTTTCTCAACAATTGTGAACTCGACGTTCATATTCAGCGAGACCATCAATACAACGGGATGGCAATTCAAATAGGTGGAGGTCTAATTAGGAGATATCTTACCCTATCTCGCACTTGTATTCTGGCCTAACCAACTTCTATGAATTGGATATCGTCAACAATAAATTCACCGACGTCTATGAATTATTTGAAAAAATTTATACTGAATTGACCTACATTCTCAACGAGGAGCTTGAAGATAAGAAATGCCTCAAAATTACAAGCGAGCTGCAGGGCCATTTTTACAAAACTTCCATCGACCCCGACACGATGGACATGATTGTTTCAGATAGAACTACACCTGATCCGGTGTTCAAATCAAAAACACATTCGGTTTACAGATCCGAGTCTATTCACACGATTGTCAACTCCCTCGCTTGGCGAATGGTGGAGAGCGTGGCCTCTTTCATAAACAAAAAATCTGGGTGGATTTTTGACTGCGTATCAAGTTTCGAAATAAGTGTGGGACGTTTCCAACCCCTGGGGGGTGCTGGGTTCAAGACCAATGATAACCTGCTCCAATATGCTCGTTCATCCACTGTTCTGTCAATTGATAATACTAACCCAGAAACTGGGGTCCCTGATGGAAATTGCTTCATGATATCGTGCGTGGCAGCCAAGATGATGGATGGACTAACTAAAAGGTATAAAACTAATCTGTGTCGACATCAAGAGAAACGTGCTACCTATATAAATGAACTTTACAACCACGGTTTCAATTGGAGCGGTATCACGATGCCCATGGATGCATCTCAATTTACCAAGTTTTCCGATCAAAATCCTGAAATAGATCTCCACGTATTTGTCTATGAAGAGACTCAGAGAGCAAGAGAGCTCTGTGCTTCCCTAGCAGGTGAACCATCTCTCAACACTAGGGATATCCTTTAAATCCAGAAGGAAATCCGAAACTCGATATATCCCCTCTACTCATCAAACAAAACTCCTCAATTCCGGCTGAGACCTGCGCTTACAAGACATACCGAATCTGATGTGGAAGTGTCAAACCTTTTCGAAATTGATCTTCTTCTTGTGCTCGAAGAAAATGATCATGGCTGGGACGGACACTACGCTTTAATAAAGAATTTTGATGCTCTCGTCTCCCTTGCCGGCAAAAAATCATTTTATTGCAAAAATTGCGTAAACAGTTTTACAACCCAAGATAGTTTGAATAATCACCGACCCAACTGCCTGACTTTAGGAATGCAGCAGCTTACCATTCCTGAGGAAGGGTCTTATTCCTTCAGACAATATGGTAGAATGGTGCGAGCACCCTATAGGGAATGGCTTGTATTTATATTTCATCCTCCTTCTCTTTTGCTAAATACATTATATCTTTTAAGATACTACGGGGATTTCGAAAGCTTCCTAAAAAGCAAGGAGGCACACCTACTTGGAAATGATCGTCAAATTAACTTGGCCCATCACTCTCCATCGGGATATGCGTGGGTCTGCCTGGACTGGCACAACAAGATCGTGGCCCACAACATTCATCGAGCAACCCATGATGGTGAGAATGTAGTTCAAAGATTCTTTGCCGACATTTTCCAAGATCAAGAGATTCGCCAAAAGGAAATAAAAAGATGTCAGTGGGCAGCAAATACGAGTATGGTCATCGATCCACAACTCAGGAGACGGCTCAAAGATCAAATTCTTAACAATCCTACAAGTCTCAACCCATGCTATTTCTGCAATATCAAATTTACTGTAAAAGATGCTATCGTTTTCCACCACGATCATTTCTCTAGTCAATTCCTTGGACTATCACACCACACGTAGGTCGTCGTACAATTAACGATCCAATCGTGCTATTAACCATTTTTCCTTAAAATTTGTAGATGCAATATTGATGCACGAGTCCAAAGCCAGGCCCCCGTTTATTTTCACGGATTGAGGTAAAAACATGGTCAAGTCTCAATTGTAAATCTGTAAACTGAAATCAATTTATTGTGTAGAAATTACGATGGCCACTTTTTGGTTTCAAATTTTACGAGTGAAATGGAAGTTGAGGTCATCCCCTGTACCAGCGAAAGGTTTGCCCTTCTCGATTAAGACTGTAAAACTCGAAAATATTTTATTAACATGCATTTTTTTAGGTTTCTGGCATTCAGCGTAAAGAAAGGTAACAACAAAATAAGGTTTGTGGACAGCGCAGCTGTGATGACCACATCAATTGACAAGTTGTCAAAATCATTGGGCCACGACAACAACTCGGAGCACTTCAAGACCACAAAAGCAATGTTCTCTGATTTCAACGGTGAAGCAGCGCTGTATCGGGATGGGAATGTAGATCTTTTAATGAAGAAGGGCATTTATCCATATTCTTACGTCCAATCCGTCTCCAATTTCGCTGAGAAGAAATTGCCAGGGATTGAACACTTTTTCAATGACCTGACTGAGGAGCCATGCCCCCCTGAGGACTACAATAATGCTCTCAAGGTTTGGGACAACGACCGCATTAAAAATCTTGGCGAGTATCATGATTTGTACTGTTTGTTGGACGTGACCATTCTTGCGGATTGTTTGAAGCGGACGCGAGAAATTCGAGAGTCTTATGGGTTGGATGTCGCTCACTATCTGAGCTTGCCCATGATCGCTTTTGACGGGGTTTGCAAACTCGGAGAAGTAGATCTGGAATATCTGGGATTAGACGAGTACCAATGGCTGGAGACGGCGGTGCGTGGTGGAGTTTGTGGAGCCGGAGGGATGAGGAGTGCTCAGGCCAATAACCCATATATGCGAGATTTATACGACCCAGCTAAACCCTCATCTTATATATCCTTTTTGGACATTAACAACCTTGCATTAGTAATTATTTAATAGAAATATTTCTTATTCTCAGGATCTGCAATGTGTGAATCCCTCCCCCTCAAGAACTACAAGTGGATGGATCAGGACCAACTAGACTCAATTTCCCTAGACCCCCAATATTTTTTCAACTCGGTGGCTGATGACGCTCCAACTGGCTATTTTTTCGAAATTGATCTCATTGTGCCCCCCACAACCTATAATAAGCTGAACGACTACCGATGAAGCGTATCATAACTTCAGA